CATAATTAGGGACAGAAAAGGTTGTATTGTGAGTGATTGGGTAGATTTTATCAGAGAAATGGCTTATCCAACGAGAATAGTATGTGAGCAAGACAACTATACGTTGTTGAGACTTAATGTCCTTCGGAACGGGCGGCTCTTACAAGACTGAAACGTTCAGGGTACGTTTGTTGATGCCCTCCATGATGTCATAGCCATGGGGTTCAATGATGGAATTTGTGCTTTTATCGTGCTTTAATTGAAGGCTATAATTATGTGCTTGGATGAGAAAACGTGTTCTTGATCGTTTGCACATATGTCCGCATGTGTATGCATCCCCATATATCCCGGTAAGTTTTTCAGCGCCTATTATGTCATCCATTACTCTTCGAAAGCATGCTACTCGACTCGTTACTCCGAACGGTATTCGGCCATGTAGATTCTGTCACTTGATGGTTATTTGATGGTATTCACTTTCAAGATCAAGTGTGCTAAAATTACGATATTTGGCTATTTTACTACTCATATCCTCAGTTTACGGCATTGAAGCATTGGTTTACGGCAGTGAAGCATTGGTGTTGAACACTGATGTCATGCTGTCGATGATGATATCCTCAGTTCTGGGGAGTGAATAAGCATCCAATTGCGTAAATTAGTTTATTGTTTGGTTGTAGTCAACAACCATTCGTTTCTCCTCTCGATCATTTGTCGTGGCGAGTACTTGCGCTCTCCGTGAAGACTTTGAGGGCTCAATGATTTGTTGATACAGTAAACGCTTTACTTTAGAAGCAGGGCCTCGTCTGCACAATGTCGTCTGGACTCAATGGCAATGGACTTACACCTTGGATCTAGACGCGAACTGAGACGAGGAAAAATGATTTAACTGTGAACAATGCAACACTTTGGAAAAACAGTAAATATACAACAAACACGCTACTTTCAATTAAGGTAGAGAGACTCAAGGTTGCGGGGCGTTCACTTATCTTGGAGACTGTATTAGTAGTGGTTGTAGGGTGATAGCTGAGGTCAATGCACGAATTCACAAGGCTCGGGTCGCGTTTGCTAATTTGAGACACGGTGTCAAAGCGATATATCCCTGAATCTCAAGGCAATGTGTATCAGGCTACAGTACGGAATCTTTTGCTGTAACAAGGCAGTTAAAAAGCGAGTTTTCAGTTGTGGGATGGAGACTTCCATCGGAGAATATGTCCAAAACCAGAAGCTACATTGGTTAGGTTGATGTATTACGAATGCCAAATCATCTTTTGCCGAAGGAAGCCCTGTTTTCTGTGCCCAACTCAGAGTCACGGAAGTGGAGGCCTGGCCAACCATTCATAGGGCTGAGGGATGTGAAAGAGATTACGAATAGTGTCAACGCTACTCGCATTCCAGAATGGGGACCGCATGATCCCCGCTGCGCATGGTTGGGTACGCTGCAAGATATGGTTCTCAGTGGCGTTCTTGTCAGTTTCTATCCGGATTGCCTGGATGAGTGTCTGGAGGCCCCTCGGAACGATTGTAGTAGGCTAGTAGGAGGTAAATACCGGTCACGTGAATCTTCCCGAAACCTCTCCACCTATTCAGTTTTGCGAACAGGTCGTCTGGAAGAGGCAGAGGGTACCTATGGGTATCCAGTGCGGCAATGAGACCTTCTTCAAGAAACGATCGGTGAAACCCATTCAGAGTAGCTGGTCAGTTGGAGGATGCCAGCCGGTTCCTGGCAAATGATGAGTGAGGCTGCATGCGGTACTGGGCTTTTTGGCCTGAAAACTAGTTTGACATTGGTGAGAAGGCACAGTCTGGCTCCCTATTTTGTGCGCCGTCCAAGCCCGTCGGCAAATATAGGTACACAGTGTCAAAGGGGGGAGGGTGAAGAAAATGGACGTGAATATGGAAGATGGGAGGCGTCAGCAGTAGCATGTTTTCGCTTACCCACCCTGCTGTAAGCAGCAATTAAGATCTTCCGGCTGGTGACCACATGACGGTCGGTGTGGCGTATTTTATTTGTGTGTGCAATTCATTGTTGTACTTGCACTAGGATACTGCTAAGGCTGTCACACTTAAGCAGGAGGACTATCAGAGTCCTCAACCAGTCTACCTCCAAAGCCTGAGTAAAAGTAACAGGATTTGGCAGGGATTGTAATGCAATTGCATTGCCATCTTTATGGAACATCTCATCACACATGTTCCAACCCTTGACCTGGCGGGCCACCAGACTGTTTGTCAGAACCTCTGAGTGTCGCACGAACACCCCTCAGTATAGTTCAGTGGGTCGCGGTGGTACATATCAAGACAAGGTGCAGTCTCTTGGTGACGGGTAAGGCGACGAAGCACAAGTGACGCCAACAGCCTCACTACGACCTGGTTACCACCCCACGATAATAATAATAATAAAACGCGTACGATTGTATACCATCATCATTCCCAAAGAATCTCCATTATCTGGTGCTAACAAAAAACCTTTATTATCCCCGAGTTAAAACTGCATCATAAACCTCCTAAATTAATTTACCTGTGGTAAGTAAAGAATTTCACAAACGCAACTTGGACCACAACTTTGTTCCGTGATCATCGGTGACAGCCGTGAATAGTGTAGAAGTCATCCTAGGCGTTCCAGCTGGCGCAGTTTTGCCGCTGATCATTGGGTTCAACACATTAGATTATGGATCCAACGATGACGAGCACGTCTTACAGCGAGATGTTCCCCGTAATCCTTTTAATACTTGGCACGTGAGAATTCTTTTGTCACTCCCTAGCTACCAAGAAACTATGCAGTTAAAAGCTTTTTTTCACAGTGGGACGCTGCAACGCGGAACACGTGGCTATGACGTTCTTAGCGAGATGAGTGCCGCCTTGACCATGGCAACTCTCAGCTCTTCGTGCTGTATATTTGGTTTTTAGTTTAACTTGTACTGACAGATTGTACACTTTGGTTTAACTGCTTCTATTCACCGTTGGTTGTGCCAGCATGTTCCCAGCCAAATGTGACTATTAGTTCCTACCATCCTTCTTTTCCTTCGTTTCACAATCTACTGTTACAGGTTTACTTTAGGTGAGCTAGGAGGAGGCAGTAACATCTTAATTAGTATCTCTGAGTTTTAAACAACTCGTTTTCCCGGATGCATCACTAATCAGAATCAGGACGTTGATGTTAGAGTGCTAGTGGGTCTGTGTGGATTGCATTCTTAAGTGGCAGGACAACTAGAGAGTACAATGTAATGGATCTGGTTAATAGACTGATTTCTTGACAGATTACGGGACAAGTTCCTCTTTTCCTATTTGCACGCGGAAACTGCCACTGAGCCACCATAACTGCGCTGAGAGGTGGGCTTGGTATCCCGTCGGTGACTGGCTATCAGTAGTGTGAATATTTCCCACGTATCAATCATACAGATAAGTACCGACTAAGAAGGGGAAGATTCGTATTTTTTCAAGTCTCCAACGGAGAAAATGGTTAAGCCTCAGTCAGTTGGAAAACGCTTGGAGCCGGTTGTGAGGCATCGTTTCCGGAGAAATTTGGGGAACCGGATTTATTGCTGGGAAGCATTTCGAAAATGAAAGAAGCTTCGTCAAGCCAAGTGGCAACGTTATCGGATTGGTCGAGATTTAAGGTTAAAGGAAAACCAATCACCTAAATCAGGCTCAGTCGGTGTTAGGTTTCGGCTAGGGGACTTTGTCAAGATGGGTAACCGATATAGGCTTGGGTCCAGCGTGGGATCTAGTTCTTCCAGTTTGCTTCACGGCACCTAACACCGATTTCGCCTTACCTAGCTAATTGATCCTCTTTCCGCCTGAAGCCTCTACCAGTCTCGTAACCTGGACGTTTCGTCATTCGGTATCCCGTTCATCTCGCTTCACTCTCTCGATCTTTGATTGCGGTTTGTCAGGATTCTGGTGCACTTTTATGCAATGTTTGCTAAGGACTACGTAGGCAAGTCAGGCATGAGGTACCTGCAGATTACTACCAGTTGGTGTCAGTTAAAGATGCTCATGCCGGTTTTGCCATTTACGGTCGGTCTTGAACGCTTTCAGACGCAAAATACATCGTTTCAAGCACGGTCGCCCAGCACCAAATCATTGAAAATGTCCCCATACTCGAATGTTTTGAAGGCTTCACTTGCACTGTTATTTTTGAGAGTATGTTGATGGTGACGAAGAACGTCGATGTTTGTCTTCGTGGATTTCTCGAGTGATCGTTATAGTCGCACTTGGTGCATACAAAACGTGTCTTCGTCGGGAAGTTTATGGGGAAATTCGGTCGAAGTAACGAACACAGTAATTAGTCAGTTTGGATTGAATGCTGGCGATATTTAGTGAAGGAAGTTACATAAACCGGAAGGAAACTCATCGGCGCATTTACAGGATGCTTTTGCCTACCACTTCATCTGTTGTCACGCAGTCTCATTCACGGCCCGGTTTTCAAATGTTTTCCGGTAGCTTGCGCAAATTAAAGAGCCTAATAAATTATATTATTTGATAGGCTTCTTCGACGAGGTCGTGTCTGCTGATGTTCCTTGGCGATGGCCACCGTACGCCTACTATCTCTATTGCAAATTAAATGCACAAACTTCTGTGGGGTCCTAGCGAAGAACCGGAGGAGTGGTGACCAGTGAGTGCACCATAGGGCTGTAAAATTGGATATCTATTCACGGGCATACTTTGAAAGCCATAGACACAAAGGCCTACTGAATTGACGTGAGATTTCATTTTCCACGAAACGCGAATGGTTTTACATTTCTTTCACGAGTCCTTGCAGCAAATTACATTGATGTCCTATCCATCTGGCGAACCTTCATAGACTACTCGCACTGAATTGCCCTCCAGTACCCGTACTTGATCCCTGGGTTCATCCTCCTAGCTCGCTTATCTTGGGATTCTGCTTACGGATGGGGGCATTCTGCTCAACCTGTCCTACAAATGCACTGACGTTCGTCATATCTGTTCCGTAGCTTTGTCAATTTACACCTTCCAATTTTTAACTTCCTGCACAAAGTACGCTCAATTTCTCTCTTATTTTTCAGCTTGACTACAGGTACCGCGTTGCACCTATGGAGTTTGAAGAGGGAGAGGTAGCCGACGTTAGTGATTCGGAGCAGGAGTGTTCTCCTAAGGCGCGACGCGATGAGTTGAGGTACCGTTTCTTCATTCATTGGCTCAGATTACTCAGCAGACACGACCGTTTTAAACACTCCAGACACCACACCAAACACAAGCACGAGAAGTCTTCTCATAAGAAATTGGGTCTTGACAAACGTTCGTCCTCCAGAGCAAACGGCCCTGATGTAGGATCTACAAAGGATCCACAGAGGCGACACAAAAAACCTACGAAAGAGCACTTATTAGAGGATGACGAAATACTCCATCCTCCAGAACGGGATCGAGAAGTTTGTCTCATTCTCTTAATATACTTACCATACCACAGGAGAGGCATCATGATTTTGATCCCAGGCGTAGCCGAAAACGACGCAAAATGGAACGGTTTACTAAACCGCCTATGCAAGCCAAATGTCGTTACTTCATGGAAGGCCGTTGCAACAAGGTATGGTTTTATAAGTCATCCTTTCATTGTGTAGGGCGACAGCTGTCCCTTTGCACATGATTTCCAACCTACGAAAAAACAGGAGCTTTGCAAGTTTTACGCTGTCGGTGTTTGTTCCAAAGGTCCAACTTGTCTCTATCTACACGAGGAAGTCCCATGTAAATTCTATCATTTCTTTGGGAAATGCAGTCACGGCGGGTCGTGCAAATTTTCTCATGAACCGCTTACTCCTGAATCTCAGGCTTTACTCAATCGGATAGCCGGATCTACGGTAGCGTCTAATTTTCCAGAATTAATGCTTCCATAGGACCAACCACCTACTACTGTTGGCTGTGTACCTGATTCTTGCCGGCCACCACGTGATGAGCCCCCCTACTCCGGTCTTGGAGAGCACGGTGACGTCGATTATCGTTTTGGACAGCGACCAGCGCATTTCAGGTGAGCACTGCGAACAGCAGCTTATTAGTCGAGGTTTCACGATATTTCTGCTTCCGCACTGTGCTGACGTACATTAGCTTCGCTTGAGTTTTGGCCCTATCTTTTGCGCTATGGTACCTATCGGTTTATTGGTCTACGTATACTCGAGCAGACGTATCTTCAGCTGTCTTTACCAGTTCTCAAAATGACCAGCTAGTAGGAACCGGAAAGTTGAAGTAATAATCAGCCATTATTATGCATCGTAGGTTGAAGTATGTCTACGGCTCCGCAAGCTACATTAACTTGGTCATGTTTTATACACGCTGAGTCATCAGCTACCAGAGAGTTATGTATTTCGTGCCGGATTCGGGGCGGTAGAAACCGAAAGGGGGCAGTGTAGGACTGTTGAAGGGAAGTAGCGAAGTCTGTGTACAGTGTGCGATGATGATGAGGTTTACGTGACCCTTCTTGTTTGGCCGGGGACACTGGCAGGTATCCGAATCAATTTGAACAATGTAACGAGAACAACCGTGTCGCGGAATGTATTCGTTTATCGTCTGCCGCAATACTTGTTAGACGTTACAAAATACAAAGAATACGGAGCTAGTTGCGTCGTTTATATGAAAGCTGTAATAAGATCATTCAAGAAAACCGAAGTAGCCTGTAAGCGATTCTCAGTCCTTTCTTGGAGCCCAGTACAGCCCTGAATCGCTTAATCAATCTTGCTTCAAGGAACATCGACCTATGTAAGGCTGCTTTGTGGTATGACTTGGGAAGGAGAGTAAAGTTCAGTTACATCCAGCGATGCCTCGTGATCGATGATTTGGGTTTTTGTCGTTTTCCAGTTCAAATCAGGTTCAGCTGGCAGCATGCGAAGTCGTTTTGGTTTGGTGCTGCCAGTTTCTGTCTAAAGTGGTCGCGTTTTGGGGTGCACAAAACTCTTGTGTTGGTGTTGGTATAGGACCGGGCATATCTCCCATTTTTATTTTTGTTACACGTCTGGGTACCTTCACATGGTTGTGTTTTTGTGGAGCGTTCCAACGGCGTTTTATGGTCAGCGGTAATGTTGAGTATGCTCTCCAGCCCGTGTTTTCGACCAGCTCTATGGCTATTGGAGGACTAGAAGTACATTCAGTGAGTTTATATCAGTAGATATGCTAGAGATATTTCCCACACTGAGTTAATTCGAGCAGTTTTCCATTGAGATGGAGATTTGGCGTACTTGCAAAGATCTCCAAAAGCTACCCTGTTTATTACCGTGAGGCCTTGAAGCGTTAATGAATTTATTGACCATGAAAAGTCACTTGTCATATCGCAACAAGGACCACCTGATGATAATTTGGTTTACCACTCGTCATACAGGTTCTAAAAGCATCAGATTCTCCTTTTCGATGCGTTGTCACGTATTATATTCATTATTTTGGCTAGTTACTAGTTCTATTTTAAGGAGCGTAATCTAAACACTTTTTATGCAGTTGCGGAAGCCAGCATAGTGGCTTCTCTACGTAGAATAGGGCTACGCGCAATGACAGTTGGGTTTGGGCTCTGACGAATGGCTAGCTTGCGGACGATTCAGGCAAGTAACCCACATCGTCCAGCGACCTTTTTATTGTTGCCGGACCGGTTCAAGTGGATTATCAAAATGTCATGCACCATCCTTTTGAAAGGGCTCGACAGTTCCGGTTCGTGTGTGACCCAAAGTAGTGACAACCATCCTTAGGGATTTCACTAACTGGGGTCATGTGACGTGACCGCTGGGATTCCGATGTGTTAACTGTCGACAACGAATGGCGCATGCGAAGTTTTTTTGTAGATCGGCGCATCCTAATAGCTTACCACTTAGAAGGCAAGGACCGGTCAGTTTCGCAGTGACTTATGGGGAGTTTGCTGCATTTGTAACTGCTGTGCGGATTGGCTGATCGGTCAAATCGGACGTTGATTCACCTGGGGATAGCCTAATGCCTCCTCAACGAGTGATTCCTCGTAGAATGCTGGCTAATACTAGCCGTGTCGCAAGCATTCTGCGCTGGCTCAGTGCAACTTTAGTTGCAACACATAGTGCGACCCAGTAAACCCGTTGAGTATCAGCCCCTTTCCTCTATTTAATCACGATAGCTACCTATGTTAACTTGAAAAGAAACAGCAAAACAATGTTATTTATCACATGTTCGAATGTGAGAGAGAACATTAACAATTGGGTACCCGACAGTTCTCTAAGTGTGTATTGTTCAATCCTATTCTCTAGCTTGACTATCTTAATCCACACTACATCTTGGTCCGTCTCAACAAGTGGAACGCTACACGTATCCTGTGCTAAAATACCGCTCCACCCAACTCAGACCCACTCACGAGGAGTCCGCTGCTATGAGGGTTACCAGCAATATTATTAAAGTTAGCCATTTAACACGTATCTTTCGTATTATGAGGTTCCCTCTTGAGAACTAATTCGGTTATTTAGAGAATCGGGGGTTCTTTTCTTGTCCCGACGAGTTTTCTTTACAGGATGAGTCCTTTGTGGGGAAGGATTGCTGTTGGATATTTTTATGAAGCGTTCAATGTTCGTTTCAATCGTTCATCTCGTACGTTAGCTGTCAGTAATATACAAACTTATCTTTTCCGGTGAAATGGACCATAGTGTTATGTGTCTGGGTTTTTCCACTAGTCAGTACAGTATCCCCAATTATTGGTAAGTAATCGATTTCAACTTGTTTTGCAGACTGCCCGAGACCGCTGTTTCTGCGCTTTCTGTCAGTTTTTCGTTCTACAATCTATTACTATAACACGTCTTTTTCTAGATACTCGGTGTATTAATTGCACTTTTACAGAGAATATAGGTGTTTGTCTGGTTATTTAGTCGATAGATGTTGATCGTCCCCACTAAGTGCATCTCACAAGTGGCATTCATAATTCAGATATAGCTGCCTAAGACACGAATCAGCCCCATGCAGCTTTGAAGCGCGAACTGCTGATGGTAGCATTTTTTCGAACGATCTTTTTGTTTGATGGCCTTTGCTTTCCACGTATTCTTATCATGTTTGATATTGGTCGTGCTGTTCATTTCAGGATTGTGATGCAGTAGAATTATGATCTGTTCAGCGTGCTCACCGGCTTCGCTTTTCTGCCGACAACTTTACCAGACTTAGTTACTGGGAACGGGTTGACGACCATTTTTCCTTGAATAGTGCTTGAACCAGGTGAATGGTAACTCTTAAATTGGTTCAATTATCTGGTGGAATTCACACTCCTCGTGCATGTTCTTTCATTATACGATCCCGGGATTGCGTCTGACTGTCATGGGTGACTGTGGCCGTAACGGAAAGCAGCTCCGAAGCTAGAGAGTGCAAATTGAATATTCAGGGTGTTTTAAGAGAGCATTGCTCTTGGACACGAGAGAAATATTCAGGTAGTGTGAATCTTCATCTTATTGTTGACATTACATCCGAAAATATGTTTACCGGTTAGTATCAGACGCGGTTCTGTCTGACTTTTGCTGCATCCAGCGACTGGCAGCGTGAGCGAATTCACTATTGTCTTGTGAGTAAACACATACGGCAGTGAAGCATCGGTGTTGAACACTGATGTCATGCTGTCGATGATGATGATGTGAGTGAACACCGCCTAACCGTAAACAGATTGATGCAACTAAGAGACTAGTGCGACAAACAAACTAGAGGGATCGTTACGTCACACACATCCAGTTGACAGAAGTCCTGTGAGAGTGCGAGCAGTGGTAAGAAGACACTGAACAATAGTGCCATCAATTCTCATTGTTGGCTCCCCAGGTCGCATTAGAACAGGACTCTTTAAACTGGCCTTTCAGCCCAGAAACATCATCTTAAGCGGATACACCAATTTGTGTTCGTAAAATGAAAATATATGGAATCAGTAATCCTATTCGAATCATTTTCATTCGGATACGACGGTTCTGGTTGGTTCACACCGAAGCCTTGGGCTCGATTTTGCCCTTATTTGAGTAGTTCCAGACGATGGCGCGTCGCATCCTTCTCTGACTTTGTAGTGGTACCTCAGCGTCTACCGTATATCTAGTGGGTACCGAAGCGTTTTTCGTCACTCTAAATCAGGACTATTCCAGGGCAATATACCCGTACGACGATAATCCCCTTTGTCGGAATACAGACGAATATCCGGGGATCATAACAACTAAAATCCCAACAGTACCTGGCACTGAGACTATGCACGACAAATTTGTCGGCCGGTCGTACTATGTAGTTCGTTTCCCTGTCCTCAGTGAGTTTCGCTCTGAGTTACGACATGTTTCCATAACCTTTGTTTTCCACTATACGCTGTGTTCCCGTCTGTCTTATCATTGACTTCCGTGTCGAGTAGATTTGTCGATTAACGCATTGTTATTTGCCGACAATTTGCCTAACCTACACGCTAACACGCCGGTAACTTCTATATCTACAGCAACCCACCAATAGGTCCCAATTTTGGATCACCACCACGACCTATCATTGGTCAAGGTCCGCATCTGCGTGCTTTGTTGCCTTCTAATCACTACGAAGCGAGAGACCTACTGGGACCCCATCCTTCTTTCATTAATCGCCTTGGCGATACAATGGACGGTGGTTATCGAATGAAAGGGCCTGGTGTGTATCCTGACTCGAACTACCCCCCGACACAGTTCCCCAACCCAGGTTCCATGGATGGTACCTACCCAATCAGCCCAGTAGGATTCGTCCCAGGTGACCATCCTATGCGGTTACGACCGCCACCGATTTCGAATTTATCCCCTCCGGAGATTCCGTTCCATCCAGATTTTCCACGTTTTAGACAGTCATTCTGTTCACCACGTGTTCCACTGTCTGTCTCCATGCCTCTCAATCCAGCCATTCGTTTAAACAATGAAGCTCTGGTTAGCTCTGAGCTAGACAAAATGGCAGCACTACTAGCAGCAAGCAAACCTCCACCGGCTACCAGCACACTTACTTCATCCCCGTTAGATCCCCGAGTTCAGTCACCGGGGCACGCAGCAAGGGTCGAAGTACCACAATCTCCTGTGGTAAGTATGTTTTTGTGAACCGTGCAGCGGATCTTCAGGTCTCAGATGTGAAGCATTACCGTTTAAGCGTTCGATAACTGTCATTACATGGGTTCGTTCTGTCGTATTTTGACTGCGTGATCTTTGCTCCCGACGTCCCCTTGTTTATGAGGACAAAGAATTAGCAAGGCATGGAAAACTAGCAGGCCTTTTTATCTTCGCCTATAAATTTATGCCATTAGTTTATTCGTTTTTTTACAAGCATCAGTAGCCACGCTAGGTTAAAACTCGTGATCTGAACGGCTCCGCTGGCTGACCGACTACGCTCTGCAAAGCTGTGGGATACTGTCACATAATAGCATGTTATATATATCCCTTGAGTGTTCTAGATCCTATCTATGTTCTACCAGCGTTCCTATACGTTTCCATTTGCTCTTTGTTTTTAGCCCCTTGACAATCAGATCACCATTCCGGAGGCTCTCGATATTCCACTCAGAAGGGCGTCTTTAACACTTAACTCACCAGAATTGAACGTGGTTCCACCCGGACCCTCTTTACCGACATCGCCAACTGCAGCACAATGGCGTCTAATTCCGTTAAATATGAACGTGAAAATTCCCTATCCACTGATGCAGCTTCCTATTGATGAACTCCCACATCGGTATGAAGACCCTAGACTGCGTGGTCAACTCACGACCCTCAGACCACCGCCGAAACCAACCACTCCTGTCGGTTGTGCAAACGACGTTGGACTAAGCACTGTAGGGTCGAAAAATTGTAGCACTGAGGATTCCCAACCTCCGGAAGAAATGGATGAATCAAATATTTTCACTCCAAGACGTCCTGTGAAGCTCCAGTTGAATGAAATGGCCAGTACTTTTGTCAACTACCACCCTGCAACTGTTGCGAATACCTCGACCAAAACAAATGATCGATCATACCTCGACGATCCTCGGTTCCGGAGACGGCGTATCGTGACGGCAGGCACTTGCTCACAGGTTCCGTCAACAGAGGGTAGTGATTTAACCACAGCTGGGTCGGTAGACCAAGCAGCCCTGTAAATTTTTTAGGATAGGTTAACCATGTCGGAGCCATACCGAAAACTAGACATGTTGGTTGACGATCTGTGGCACCACTTTGCGTAAGGGTGTCCAGGTTACTGCATGAGATGGTTAGAGATAATCTATAATCCTTACACAACTCCGATCTCCCTTTGTACATAAGAAGTAAACTCCAGTGGTGAGCAATCGAGGTTTAATTTTTTGAGACGGGACAATTGTGAAAGTGTGCAACTGTGGTACAAAATGATTATGCATCAAAACTTCCATACTGCTTGTTCCATTTCAGGTAATGTTGAAGGTCCCCGGACGACACACTAGCTCTAACATGATTGAGGGCTGATTCGAAGTCGGCCAGAACGACCGGGCGAACCTAAACAAAAAAGAAACAATCTATCGCTTGACATAGTGATGCGTACAGACTTGCTTGTTTCCAACCAAATGAGAGTCGACTGAAATGATACCAGTTCTCAGTCATCGCGAAAGAGCACGCTTTTTTGTCAGGCAAACAGATGATAGACACGTAGAAAAACGCTAAATCTAGTAGGTCCTACAAAAATGGAACGTGCTCTAGATGCCACTGATTAGTCGGTGCAATCATTTATTCATCGTCCTAACGAGGATACGTGCTAAAGTCGAAGATAAGTTGGAAGGCCTACTTCACCTCTCATTGTTAATCTACTTTAGCAAACTTTAAACATACCTCGTCACAAGCAATCCTCTGAATAGCCTCAAGGCTAAGCGATCTTATCGGTCCCATGGCGGCTTCACGACACAGGTTAGCCATATCAGCGCCTGAATAACCTGAAAGAGACGAAAATCCCGTTGGAATACTCGGCTAAACTCGACACAGCGACTCTACTAGGTGACACTAGGATTTCAGGATCGCAGTACTTTGGTTATGGCTGCATGGAGTAGTCCCGGAATAGGAATCTAGCTTTTCTTATGGGGAACCTTTACTTATCCAAGAAACGTTTTCTATGATCAATTTTCTAACTGATCTAACAAACGAGTAGACGTGACAAGGGTGTCATGCTCCCTGTGTCCACCTAGGGAGAAACAAAGGAGATACCTTGGAAAGTTGGTTTGTTGAGAGTAAACCGTGACCATTTTGAAGATTAGCGAAGAAAATGAATACATCACTTGCCTTGCGTTTTGTCTGCGATGATATCAAATTCATTAGGTGCCATAGAGTGTCTTTGCTGCCTTAATAAGTGTACAACAATTTGCTTGCGTGCCGGCCGATCCGGCAGTGGTATGTACAGCCTCTTAACGAATCTTCGTCTGGCAGCTTCATCGAGTTCTTGCGGTCTGTAGAAAATGACAAACCGTAGGGGAGTGCGTTTCAGTAACTCTGTCAATCAATGTTGCACAATTAGTGGTTCTGAAATTAGGGACTTGATATTGTTTACCGGCTCGGAATTTCTACCAGTTCCAAAAGGACTGTCGGTTCTGAAAAAGACAAGTTGAGACGGAGCACATGGTGATCTGACGATCACGGGGGCCTCACTTAAGTTGACTAACGCAGTTGTACGGCGGCCGAGCGTCAGTGTTCTCACATTCGTGTTGTCCGTAATGACGTCTGCAGGTCTAGCGCACAACCCCCCAGGTTCTCATTCAGTGTTTTATGCTATATAATTGTAGCACATAACCACTACCTTGACAGACGGCTTGAAGCTGAGAATCCTGGTTACGGTGGCACCACTCACTCTGTGATACAAGCACTCTAGCCTAGCTAAAAGAATTACCATTGGAATAGGAAAGAGTCATTTTTGATAACCACCTGCCTCTTCAGTCCGCAGTCAAGTACTTAGTTTCGCTTGGTTCCTCGCCTGTTTCTAGAAACAGTGCTATTGTAACGATAGCTTTCCAACTACCTTAGTTTCTTTCACACAGACATTAGTGTGAACATTCGCGGTTTGATTACACTGGTCCTTGCTTCTCAACTGCGACGCCGTCTACCTTAGCCACCGCTGACGGTGAAGGATGCCCCACCCGTCATCGCATGAGAGTTTCCTTTGAGCTCGCTCACGAAGCAGTTGGGATTGTTAGGATCAACTACAATGTGTTCCGGTATTCTTAGCAGCGTAGTTTATTCAAGTGCTGTAGACATGTGGTGCTGTAAGTTGATGGTGTCTGTTGGACAATAGGTCGGGTTTACCAGCCGGAAGTAAGTGACGTAGTCACCTTTGAAGTTGATTATCATCCGCTGAATTCATCCGTTGAATTCAATATCAAGGCCGCTGGATACGCACTGACTAAAAATCCTCGAAGCATCTGCCTTCTATGATCTGCCGCCTTTCATCCAGCCGGTATCAGCTTGCGAGTAACCCCACCGTCTCACTGCTATCTTATACCCTTTGTGATTCTTTGATTTAGAGTCAATCGGTTGCCATAACGTGGACATACACAATGGAGAATCTAAGGAAAATTGGAACTGCCAACCTAACCCTAGAGTTGGTCGCGTATTTTACTCCTGGGCAATCTCGGGTTCTACTCATGGGTATACACCACGGGCGTTTGGAATGTCTTCAACCATGGGGCTTTCTTCATGCTGGTGAAAGAGCCTGGTGCATGAGTTGAATGCAGTAATCATTACCAATAGCGTCAACATGATGGTGCCTCACTGACGACGGTGAATGCTATTTGGAAGGTTGTGAAACGAATTGTGTTATGGGGAATAACAAACATTCATCTGTACCTGTTTCCGGCTGCACGTTCTATCATCTGACCTACTTCAAATAGGGCACGTAATCCTGAACCTGCAGGGTGAGTGGCATCGACCAGGGTAATTGGATATGTCCAGCACATCCTATTTGTTTGACCGGAAATCGTTTGGTTGCTTTGTAGTGGCTCTATTCCGGCCACTCATGCCTGCGCGCTTGGATGAAGGCCCGAAACCGCAAATCGCGCGTCATTCGCAGGTTGAGTGGGCATGACTATCAAGGCTCACCTACAGAGTACAGCCTACCAATGAGGATCGCTAACAATGACAACGATGTTTCTGATATTAAACAACTGGCTCTTACGACGGAGTTTTCTTGCGCATCACCCATAGCGTGGTACCCCCACTTCTCAAGAATAATCACCTCAGCATTTGTAACTCCGAGCATGTCGTTTTGTGTATCCAAGGTAGGGATTTACTATGTAACGGTTATTTAGTTGACCTCGAAGGTTCCGATTTTTACAGAACCTCAGAGCCATGCGTTGACATGCGGTAGCCTTGTACTCATTACATTACAACCAAAAAGCAACGTGGTTAACAACCCAGCTGAATGAACAGAAGGCGAGCCAGCTGCATGCCGTATTTTGACAAGCTGCTGGCACTTTCCTCGATAGGGGGAGACACTGGCTACCGTGTTTCTACTAGTAAATTACAGTGGATCGCTGGGTGAGGACCCTGTACATTGAGAACACATAAGTAGGGCAGTCACCCACAATCACTTTATCTAACGTGAATTCATGTCCGTGGATAACCATTCCAGAATGAGCTGCTCGGTCTGCCTAGTCACGCCAGAAAATGCAATCGATGTGCCCACGGTGATTACATTTAGATGTGAAGAGAATAACTCAGGTGATTATCGTAGAGGAACTGCTCGAAATTCCTGTACATGGGCGCTAATCTGTCACCAAATGGCTAAACTACCGCCAGATTATCAATTTGAATCCCTCGGGCTGGCACCAACGTCAAGCAACACCATATCAGACCCGATGGAAACCGATTGTGATACTCCAACTCGTGCAAGTATCCAATGGTTCAACAACTGTTAGCTCACTGATGCCACTGCTGCAACCGTGGAGAAGTGGAGTTGGAACACTGAATTGTCAGGCAGGGGCTGCACACCATGAATTCGGAGATGTTCTCGAGAGATTCTGTTGCAGCACGGTGGCGTCACGATGTCATTGGCGTTCTTGTTGTCAGCTGGTAATAAGTCTTTTCCCCATCCACTTTTATTCCTTTCACAAGAGGGTTCTCAAATAAAGCGGGCTTGTATGGCAGCGAAGCATGTGTTGAATGTCGGAATCACTCACTCCAAATAAACTGTCTGTTTCCTGGTCTACTGCATCTGTAATTCAGGTATGCTTGAGCATAATAGCCACCAGCTCTCCTAGATTGGTACGAACGTGGAAGTAAACACGGTTAAAAGCTATGAAATAAAGAACTATTCCTCCACGAGAAAAGATAATTGGAAACTTGGTAGATACGGAGTTGCTTGGGATGTACCATTTTATCCAGTACTAAACCACAAACTAGTTGTCGCGGACCTACTTGTGTCCTGGCTTGACTAGCTAATCTGTTCTGCTTCATCCTCACAGTTGGAACAGTCAACTAGGCATCCAGAATCCATTTCCTATGTGGTTTCGGTCAATGTTCACTAGGTAGGGGGGTAGGGACCGCAACGGCGGATAATCAGTTACTCGAGTATTTCTTCGTTTTAAGCAGTACTGAATCTCCAATGGAGTATTTTTGCTTAGAATGGCCGCCAAAATATACATGACTGAAGGTAATCAATGTTGAATTTAAGCACAATATTAACAATCCATAAGCTATTTATTCACTTGCAGACCTCCCTGTGACACCACGGAATAAACAGCCTGGCCCGTAGTAACAAAACCACCAAGAAGGGAGTTGGAGGTAAAAGCGAGTGATCAACCTGTAGCAAGATAGAATTAACAGACTAATCTGTGTGGAAAACATGCCGCCACCAATTTCAACTAACCTGTTTGTGGCACCGACGAAGAGGAGGCGCTCGTCTCCATCGGTGGAGACACCGTCCTGAAGGCAAAATAATGGGATTACCAGTTAAACGTCAAATTACGCTAAACTGATGCTTGATACAGGATGTTTCTGGGGAAGAGGTAGTCATATAGGATAAACGGGTACTGGGTACTTCAGCAGTTGAACCGGTACTTTCTCGGGAAAAACGTATAGATTTATAGTTTACTTGAACCGGGAACGCACGTGATTACTGGTCGGTGCTCTGTTTAACAATATGAACCTAGCTCGGACAGGTTGAACGGCCGTGTCGAGAGAAAATTTTGCCCTACAAAAACCTTACCTGCCTACTAGAATTAAACAGTCGACTTTCGAGTCCGCATAATTACTTACCAGCTGCACCAGAAATTCTGTTTTGATACGTCTACTCGATTCATGTTCCATTTCTGAGCGCTGGGTGAGTAAGGAATCAACTTCGTCGATAAATATGACTGCTGGTTGATTATTGCGAGCAATTGCGAAGAGAGCACGTACCATCTTCTCACCTTCTCCGACCTGGCAAATAAAGACAGACTGGATGATGTGGATGTGGAAATCGCAGTTGCAAGTTTCATGCGTAAGCCAGAGGCTATAACGAAGTCAGAACAAGTGGAGCCGGATCGCGAACGTGATATGGGCTCTTGAGAATTGTGTTTCCACCGGCCCTCTAGACACTAGTGTTTCTAGCGAAGTACACTCATTTGCAAACGAATTGGTTTTGCGAGAGACTCACCTGGAATCTCGGGATTTCAACGGATCTGTCGCATTAGCTCATCAGACCAGAGGTTGGGCCGGCCTTGGTGAATATCTATAGGGAGGCTCCGCGAGAATATTTCGCATTCCACGGGTCTCAGTCTGTTGCTTTGTTTGAACGAACTTCCGAGCGTATGGTGTTACACAAAGGTGTAAAGATAAACAGACTGGTTGATTGAAACGCACATCCACAATGAAGAGAGGAGAGATCCTCTGTCTTACGATAAAGCATGGATGCGGTCGGTTGGAAACTATACTTCAGAGCACTAACCGGGTGTCTTATTGCGGAGTAATCCAGAAACAGTATTCTCTCTAGGGCTTATGTCCTAGTGCAAATGAGTAAGTCCTCGCCGAAACGCGAGAATAAACTATTAAAAAAATGTTCAGCTGTAACACTCGGTCTCTAGCTACCATGTCACCCGAAAAATGCACGGGAGCTGGGATATCGCCAGATTGCCAAAGCCCAGACAGGGGAAGTCGAAAGGCAGAGATCGGGTTCGAACCACGGACCTTGTGGTCAGTAAAAGCTTTAACCACTTGAGCCACAAAGGCTACTGACCGATGGTATGGAACAGTGGGAATGTTCGTCGCACGAACAGGCGTACTCACCCATTTCGAGGTTAGAGACGAAGCACTAATGGAGAAGAAGGTGGACTTGCTTTGAGAGGCGATGCATTTACCTGAAACGAACAAATGGTACGGCCAGTCATCGGTGAGGATATCACGTGGACGAGTCACAAAGTGCGTACTACACGGAAGTAAAACGGTGTTTGAAATCCCGAACTACGATAGGCATATTTTTTGGTCACATCGAGTGATCAAGGTGGCTTTCACTCTGCACTCTTGTACCGTGCATCCTAACGGGTTTTAGTGATACCCGGTCTAGCAGTCCTAAAGCAGGTCTATGGCGTGCTTTTTTGAACGATATGAGTGCCTCCTATGCTGTATGGTTGGAATCGGAAGAAAATAACACTGCTATCAACGAAAAGAAGCAAGAAAAGTGATAGCTGGGACGTTCACCGGTGAACAGTCAGTATGAACGTCCGGGGTACCAGCAGCGTGACCAATTATCAGGGGGAAAGCGAGTCGCTCTGTGTTCACCCAATCTGCTATCTGTCAAACATCAAGTAATGAGATTTTCTTTTTGTAAGTGGTGAAGATGGTGTGCCCCTCACAGACACGTCCTAATAAGACGTTACCTTTTGGTTTCACGGTTCACATGTGTAATTGTTACCAATATTATTCACTCATCGGTTGTGAAGCATTATAATGGATAAACAATAAAACGTGATAATCATTTTGGCAAGCACATTGCTCAAACCGATATACTGGCAAACTTAATCAACGCATTACGCGTCCGTAATCTTTGCACGTTGTTAACAGCAATTCCACTGAGAAGACAATGACTCGCTAGAGATATGGAAACCATCAAGCTCTTCATGGCCCAAAAGGAAATAAAAAGGGTAAAGCACAGCGATAGGCTTTTTTCAGAAGTTGCCTAATGCTTTTTACTAACGAAGCATTCTCCGTCACGAAGAGACTGGACCTTACCGTGGTGTGGCGGTTTGTGTACCTCGGCGACCAATTGAGCTATATTGGGGAGTGTCCGCACGATGCTCAGAGTCTCTCATACCAGGTTGGTCCATGGGTAGAGGTCCGATGAACAC